TTGCAGCCAGTGACATACAACACTGTCTCCACTTAACTCAAATTTGATATGTTTTACATTTTGAATATCTTACTGAATTATAGTCCAGAGAACTTTTGCCACAACACATGATATAAGGGGCTCTCAGCCACTAACACAAAGTGAATCACTAAGTCGCTTCCCAGAGATTTAAAGTTTTAAAGATCTTAGTTATTCTTGTATTTTAAATCTCTGAGGCACAACTGGGTTTCAGCTAAGCTGTGAGCATGTGATTTCAGCTAAGCTTTTGCAGGAGCTGAAGATTCTTTGCTCAATTATCACATTGCTATAATTCACCTCCTCTGTAATATCTGCATTGCAGTGGCTATTAAAATCTACTAAAATATAAGCCGTATGGAGAATTTCTGGCTTTATCAAAGAAGAGAGCAAACAGAAGCTGTGATACTGTACCTCAGGATTAACATCCAGGCTATTTGGCCCCAGCAAAGTCAATGGGAGATGTGTCATTGCTTTCTGTGACACCAAAATTTCACCTCACTTTGAGACTTGATCCATCTCAATAAGCTCGAGAGTGATTTTTTTTCTCATCACAGTGACATGAAAAAATGAGAAATTTTCTCAGAAAACTGGTATTGGCACAGAAGAACGTTTCCAAACAATACGCTCACATAGTCACCACTTCTTGGAGGGACGAGGACTAGCTCTCAGGTAGAAATAAAAACACATACTATAAAGGAACCTCAAAGTGATTTGCTGCACGGCAGGTTTTTTACCTGGTGACAAAGGTCAGCACGAGCTGGCTCACTTTGCTGCTTTACTTTCTACACCAGCTGCCTGCTCTCTGCAGGATTTAGGGAATCAGTAATTCTAACCAAGGCCCAAGGCAATGTCAAGGCAAGGTAGCTCTAGTACAAACTAGGAAGTCCGGGCACTGGTGAAATCACTTTTGGGAAACTGCATAATCATCCCTGTGCAGGCAAGACGCACTTAAACTGTGAATTTTGCAGAAAAGAGTTGGAAGGGTCATTACGGAATGAATGGTATTTATCAAGATTTAAATAGCTCATCTTGTTTAGTCTAGCAAAATGAAGATGGAGAGTGAATACGACAAATATACAGTAAATGCTGGGAAGAAGAGCTATTTTGAGTAAAAGACAAGACTGGCACAAGGGTATAATGACCCTTAATGATTTCGGACTGGAAAAAGAAGGAAAAGGTTTCTCTGTTGCAAAATGCTGAAGTAATGTCAGCAACAGTGGAAACAGAGAGGTTTAGGATGGAGTTAGACATAGCCATGAAAGGGCTGTATAATGTGCCTAGCTATAACGTGGGAAATTGGCCGTGATAGTTTGTGATATTGAGTGCAGCTTTATCTTTCTAGCACCCAGCCTGCAAACAAACACGCACTGGAAGAGCCGCATCCGTCGCCTCCCTGGCCGGGAGCAGGACCTTCCCGCAGCCGCTGCATTCCGTGGGATCGGCGCGGGGAGCCCAGGCGTCCTCACGAGTGAGCGGCAGGCACATGGGCCTGGCTTTCCTCCACTGGGAATATGCTGCTTGTAGGGCTAAGGAGGAACTCGAGAACTCACTGCATTCATAACTAAACATGAAACGAATCTGCCTGATTCCTTATAGCAAGCATTATAGTCATGCAAACACATGCAGATTCTACCGATTTTTTAGTTATTTTTACGACTGGAGAGAAAGTGAGAGAGAAAGAGGGACAAAGTGCATGTGAGATTTTCATAATTGCTAGAAAATGTTCTTTTCTGTTATTTTTGTTTATTTGTTTTTGTGATACATATTCAGGTGTTTGACTTTAATGAAGGGTTCTTCACCATTTCTGTAGAGCAGTATCTTGCAGAATTTGCCCTGTTAGAGACCTATGTAGAGTGACACCAATATGCCACGGGGGAAAACAACTTCAGAGCTATTTTAAGTTTTATGGTGCTGTATTAATAAATTACTAGCTAACAGGCTTTGTCTTTACCTCATATGAAAAGGTTTGCCTTTACATATGAGCAGGCTAGTGACTGCTTCTAGAGCTCTTTACAGTCTTGTATTCTCGTGTTGTTGATGAATTTCATTCCAACCCTGTGGTCAGAATGGATGAAAAGGATCTCCAAAGACACTCTGTCTTTTTCCTGTCCTAGTGCTGAGGAGAGAGCCTGAGATGCCCGCTGGGCTGCAGAGTTTCTGGGGAAAGCAGAGAGGCCCTGCTTGGGTGTATGGCTTGGCTTGCTCTGTAATGCCTGTCTCCACAGCTCTTACACAGGCATTTAAGAGGAATATATTAAACCCAAGTCTCTTTATGATCAGGTTTAGAATTGCTGTTTTTTGCTCTTAGTATATTTTGATCAGAAGAAATTGTTCATCTACTGCAGTGAGTGCTTGCACACAGACTATAACAGAACTAGTTATTCTGTCATTCAGAGTATTCGGCTAAAGGCTAATCTTGCCCAAAGATCTGAACTATTTATTTATGAAACACAATTAAAAATGATCTCTGGTGCAAAGCAGTTACTGTGGGGAGGTTTGGGGCCAGCTGGATCTAGCGCTGCAAATCAGAGAAGGAGAAAACATTCCTATAAATGGATGAGATGGGAAAGATTTATGAGCTCATCTTGAAATTCCCCCAAGATAAACATCAGAAGTAAGTTATCAGAGAAAACAATTGAAGTGGTGATTATCTACAAGTTCAAGAGATACCTGAGTGTTTCTGATGAACCCTGAGCCGTGTTATTCCAGAGTAGAAGCCTATAATGGTTACATTTCAGATCCATAGTCTAAACTGGGCTGAATGGGAAGCTTTCAAGGCCACTGATGCACTGCTGAAAACATAACTGGTGATTCTGCAGAGGGTTTCCCAACTCAGTTTTCATTTTTGCATACTTCCATTATAGTCTACAGTGATCAAGGGGTGATGACAAAAAAAAGGCCCTGTCAGTGCCTTGCTGTGGTGATCTTAGCAGGGACTCAGAGGAAACCACTCAGAACCACTGGGGCATTACAAACTCATATAGCTTTGTATAGACAGCCCTGTTTTGGGGCTGTTCCCTGACAGCCACTTGGATGACATATTTTAAAGTCGTAATTCTCCCTTAATTCCACAGGAGCTAAACACTGCTCCAGCCTAAAAAATGATGTGAAGGATATTTTACAAAGAAAACTTGATAGAGCACCAGAGATTTAACTTATCATCGGGTCACATCTAGAACTTTCAGTTTGCTGGAGGCCTTTACAGTGTTTAAGTCCCAAATTCATAAAGCCACAGTGTGGATCTCTCAGCTCTGTCAGTCGTTACAGCTTCTTGCATGGATTTATTGCATTTCTTTTTGTTTATTTTACTCCTTCTCTTTATCTAGTCAAGATATTTTATTGAGTTTTATGATATAAATATGAAATCCTAATTAAAGCAATTACATTGTAGGAAAAAAGGAAAATGATCCAAACTATCACATTTGTTTTCGAAGTATTCTTTTTTTTGCAGCTGAAGTGATGGCCAGGGACTCCTAGTTTATTTATTGGGGATATCTAAGGATATTTTCCCAATGGCATTGTTTTCTAACTGAGAACAAAAAAACTTCCTGTGTTTTTGAACTCTCCAACATCATATGCACATTTAACATATGCACTTTAACTAGGTTGGAAAACAAATTCAAAGAAATGTGATTGAATAGATTATTCCATGAGTTTGTGAAGAAAAATGTTGAAGTTCAGTGCTTCAGGTTAATGTCTGTCCTCTCCACTTTGAAATCCATTACATGCAGACCCCTTACATATGTAAGTGAAAAGATCTGGATGATCTGAAAAGCTGGTGTGTGTCAGGTGACAATTTTAACAAAAATTTAATGTTGGTAGAAAGTATGATGAATATGAAGAGGCAGGTAAAGAATGAAACAAAACAAAACAAAACAGGATATACCTTCCTTGAATCAAGACTAATGGAAGTTTGCTCTGTCGATAGATTTTCCCCTAAAAGGAAACAGTTTACAGAATCCCAAAAAATAGCCATGCACTAGCCCAGTTGTGCATATCTCTGCCTGACAGTGATGAACTTTTTACAAGATAGTTTAAATTATATTTTTAAGACATTTCCTAAAAAGGAAGACTGAGACTTGTCTACAGCAGTTAAAGGATGTTTTAAGAAATCATGAACAAACAGTTCAAAATTGAACTGTATATCATTTAAATGTATTTGCACTTACTATCACACATCTGAATCTCAAAATGCTAACTCATATTCTCCATCTATTTACACTTTGCCTGACTCCACAGACTTCAGTGTGGGCTACAGAATAAAACACAGTCAGCCTGGCTTTCCAAAGCCAGTTTCCGTTTGTAAATCTCAATACGGGTTTTATGGGCAGATGAATAGGTGAGGTCCCAATTTATTTACAAAACTCTTGGTCATTTTCAGTCGATAGACAGGTAAACATCTCAGCTATGCTACGTTGCTGCAAACTTGAAAATAAGCAACTAGGCAGCCGATAAACATACCTCTGCCTCTCCAGGGCTGAAAAGGCAGTATTGTGAAAGAAGCCTTTGTTAGACATGTAAGTATCCATGCAAAAAGACTTCCCCCTGCTCCCAAAGACATAAAAACCCATGGAACCACAATGTTTTAGCAGGACTGGTTTATTTGCGCAAGCGTGAGTGCTTATGTCTTAATACACACACTGTGTATTACAAATGGACTTTTATTCTGTATCAGAAAGAAGCCGGCTCAGCCACTGTCTAACGTTTTTAACTCGTGTACTTTTCTCAAGATTTGCCCACTCACTAATTTGGGATGATATGTCTTCCAGCATGTCAAGGGCCAGATTGTATGATTTAATGTAGGAAGGAAGCTTTGAGAAAACCTCTTGCGAATGCAAGTTACTAGTGGAGAGGTGGAGTTATTAGGACTTTATTTTACCCATATCCGTGTTTCAGAATGGAATGAGAGGCACTGCCATTGGGGAAGTCTGTTTTGTTTGCAGACACGTACACAGAAAGCAAGGCAGAGCGGTCCCGCTTGCCTCTGGATGGCGCTTGGCTAGGCGCACAGTGAGGAGGCAAACCCCGTGCCTGCCGCAGGGAAAGGCTCTCGGACTGCGTGTAAACCGGTGAGCTGGGGGAGCTCCCGGCTGTGGGCGACATCTTGCCTGAGATCACAGCAAGGCCCAAGTACACAGCAAGGCCCAAGTACACAGCAAGGCCCAAGTATACAGCAAGGCCCAAGTACATCAGCTTTCTACTCTTATACTAAGTTTCCAGGTGAAGGAAACCTGGACATATGGGCTAAGGGGAACTGAGGTGTATGCTTTAGCTTGGCCCAGGAGCTAGTCCCCTGCTGGATCTTGGCCTCAATGTGCACTCTATCCCCATCGCTCACTGCTGACACAGCCTGAGCAAACAACCTTCTAAGCTAAGAGGGAAAGCCTAGAGGCTTTCTAAGTTGGCGTGAAGGCAGTAGGCCGCAGTGAGGAAGGGCACGGCCTCCTGCAGATAGCTCTGTGCAGGCCTCATGGCTGTTCCTTGTCACGTGAGGTGCGCAGTAATTCTCTTGCTCTGACCCTCTCCCATGAGGAGGGATATGATCTGGTGAAAGGATACCACTACATATGTTAACCACTTACAGTTTCCCTCCTTTCCATGAATAGCTATAGGAAAGGAAATGATCTTACGATTACTCCCACATCCGGAAACAATCCGGAATGCTGACAAGTTAAAATGCTTTTCAAGATGCAGCAGCAGCGTAAGGATGTCCACTTCTCGTGCTTGCTTGCTCTGGGAATGCTGTTAGATACTCTGTGGCCACAGGGCAGTTAGAGATTACAAATATCATGAGGGTAGAGTGTCTCATGCCTCATTTAGCGTGGCCTAACCAAGTAGTTATTTCATGGTGGTCTGGTAGCACCTGTTCACACTTAACTGAATGTGCCCAAATCTGACCTCTGCCTGACATCTCTGCTAACATGTCATGGCACAGTGAATATCGCTTTGTTGCTGGCCATGTGTTATATTATTTGTTGAACTGTGGTGACAGCCAAATTATTCTAACTGCTTTCCAGATGTGGGACAAGACAATCCTTTTTCATCAACGAAGTTCCAAAAAAAAACAAACAATAATAGTCAAACAAGTTAGATACCTTTTTGGTAATCCCCAAATACAATATTTCCTCTAACTGTCACTCTCCCATCTTGTTCTTCTCTCCGAGTCATGCAATCAGATTGTATCACACTCTATCATATTTCAAAATAAGAATAAAGCTTCATGTTTTTTTCTTCAAATGATAGTTTCTGATATGGAAGTTCTACATGGGAATTTATAGAAAGTATGGTTATAAGGCATCTGCCATTAAACCTTCTACAGTCTGTTAAACATATGTATATATGATCCTATTTTGTTTATAGTATTGCAAAACTTAGCAATTCCACATAATAATACCTCTTAGATACCACACCTTATCCTGCTTCAACTAAACGCTGTGTTCAGAACAATTTACCTGCAATTCTTTCATCTAATTTGACAGAATGGACTAAAGTTGAGAGAAGCATAAAGCCATCTTTCTTACACTAGAAATGACCATCTCCGCTGTGGAGCGGTTTAAGTGATCTGCCCAAGTTCATGTAGAAAGTTTGTGCCAGAGGCCAGACCCTCAAAACTTAGGGTAATACTGCAATTACAGAGCAATCTTTCCCTTTCCTCTTGCCTTTCTTATTAGCTTGGTTGTCTGCATTGGCAATGCCAGGGAAGACTTTCTTACCTACCCAATGCAAGCACAGATACCAGTCTTAGAAAGCGTGGCACTTCTAGAACGAGAAATGGCATTCCTCAATATCCACATCCTTGGCACAGTTAGGATTTCCCCAACACTGTCACAGGACACAGGGCTCACTATGGAACATTTAGTATATTTGTAGTTTAAATTCAAAAGTAATTTCATATGCTGAATACAGAGAAAGCTCTTTCAGCCCTGTGAATGCTGAAGGCCAACATTTACATTCAACTTGTGACTTGCTGTTGCCATCTGCATTTTTCTAGTGAGAGTAGTTCAGATAAAATAACAAGTGATGGGAAGCTTTTCCGAATTTAGAAAATGCTTGATGATTAAACATAAATATATAAAACATGAAGTGCAGATATGTGTGAGTATCTGCCAGGAGAGGAAATACAAATATCATGAGTAAGGCTATTCTCGCAATTTTTCCATCTTACCAGATAACATCATATACTGAAAACTAAGGTGGAAAAAAAAAGGAATTTGTCCTCAAAAAATTTTCCAGTCTGCTTCCAGTGCAGCAGACTGCCTTGTCAAGAAGGTGTAGGTAGAAGCCCTGAGAGACAGGCTGAATGTTCCACAGTATCAGTGAGAAACAAAAAGTATTGGCTTGAATTCTCTTTTCCAAGAAGAGAATAAATACTAGAAAACAAAGAAACCATCAATTTATCATATGTTAACTTGTGATCTAAAAATAGATGGCAAATATAGTTGTTTGGGGACTCAGTGTTTTAAATCTTCTCTCCTAAACTTGGTACTGCCATTAGACACATGTCTAAGGAGTCTGCAGCGAATGTTTATGTTAAGGTATTTTTTTCTTCCTGTTGCCTAAACAAAGGGCAGTCCAGATTTGCTTCTCAATTATGATTCTTGCTGGTTTTTCTTCTTTGTAAGTCTGTACTATATCTGTAGACTGCTAATGAAGTTAGGGCTCATCCTTTGGTTTAAGACATAATGAATTTCAAATCTGCATGGATCACAATTGGTCAGGGATGTGATGGTTGGGGCAGCCTTGGTCGCAGTGACCATGAGATGGTGGAGTTCAGGATTCTTAGAGAGAGAACAAGGCAAATAGCAAGAGCACAACCCTACATTTTAGGAGAGCAAACTCTGGCCTGCTCAGGAAAGTGTGCTTGGAAGAATATGGTCTTGGAGAAGAGGGGTCCAGGAGAGGTCATTGATTTTCAAGGATTACGTCCTCTTAAGCTCAAGACATCAAGCAAAGGTAGCAGGAGACCTGCATGGAGAATGAAGAGTTTTTGACAAAACCAAATATAGAAAGGAAGGGTACAAGAGGTAGAAGCAAGATGCATCTGGAGTTGAATCTAGCAAAGGATGTGAAGGGCAGTGGAAAGGGCTTCTGCCAGCACAGCAGCAGCAACAGACAAACTGAGGAAAACATGGGCCCTCTGCTGAATGAGGCAAGGGACCTGGTTACCATGGATGTGGCAAAGGCTGAGCTACTCAATGCCTTCTTCACTGCGGTCTTTACTGGTAGGACTTGTCTTCAGGAATCCCAGGTGCTTGACAACGGGAAAAGGAATAAGCTTTACCACAGGAGAGGAGGATGATGTTAGGGAGTATTTAAACAAACTGGGCATTCACAAGACCATGGGAACTGATAATATGTACCCATGGGTATTGAGGGAGTTAGCCAATGTCATTGCAAGGTCATTCTTGATAACCCTTGAAAGGCCATGATGACTGGGGGAGGTGTATAGTCAGACTATCATAAACAAAAGTAGCCAATATATAGCCAAAGGCAGAGCCCAAAGAGACAGAGCACCGTACTTCCCTTTGGGTAAAGCCTGTGGAAGCATGCCCAGAGGGAGGGAAAAGAAAAAAAAAGGAAACTCTGGGACTTTTCTTTGCATGGTTGTTTCATGCTATGCAGGAAATAGGGAGAGAACCAACCCTCCTTCCTTTGTATCCTATAGCGTGTTAGGTGGCTTCAGCACTTTCTGAGTTACTGAAGGCAAAACCGAGGTCCATCACTCTTTCAGGTCAAAACTACTACCCGCAAAAATCTGTTAGGGCCTGGGTGCACTGATATCCCTCTCCCAGGACCTTCCCCAGCCCTTCCCAGAACCAGGCCCCCACTGTGGCCCAGCCCAGGCCTGTTGGTGCCTGCCCCATGACACTGCAGCACTGCTGGTGTCCAGCCCCTCCACAGCTCTGGGCTCCACCAGTGCCAACCCTGACCCACAGCCAACTGCCCATCCCTGTCCCTGTGGCAGAGTCCCAGGTGTCCTGCTCCCTTGGTGGGGGGACGTGGTGTGGAGATTAGGCCTGGCCTTGCTGCCACCAGGAACGCGTTGACACTGGGGAGCTGCCAGGGAGTCCCCTGAGGAGAGGTTCTAATGGAAGGAAGGTTCCCAAACACATCAGCTCCTCAAGAAAGAAAGAAAATAGAGTGCAAGTTCAGAATCATTCACCCACAAAACTGAAGTTCTTGTTTCCCCAAGCACAAGCTAAGAGAGAGTGTTCCTAGACACTCAAGAAGGGCCTGGATGTTAAGGGCCACCTTAATGCACCTATGAAAAAAAAGGGAAAGTTTGTCCCTGGTGTAAGTCAGAATTCCTGATTTTATTTTGGAGTGAAGCTAACTTATACTAGCAGAAACAGTCCTTTTATAATTGTTGAGAGAAAAATAAGCTTACAATATTAAAAATATAAACAGAAATTATTAAGTACTTCCTTGATTTTCTAGCACTTGTAAAAATGTAACTAGAGAGAAGCAGTGAGTGATAGATCCAGCCTTACCTTTGGACTCAGGAAACCCCCTAGAAACACATATAATGAAAGCATTTATAGGAAACAGATGTACTAAAATACTTCATGTTCATATGAAAGTAAATGAATGCAAGCAGAGCAGAGCTAGGTCACTGCTAATTTAATTAATTTGCTTAGAGCAACTCTTAACTGCTTTCCTTGGAATCAAGTCCAGGGCATATCTGTCTTAGCTGCCCCTTGCGCAATGCTGACTTCAGTTGGCCTCGACACACAAGGTCCAACAGTTTCCTTGCTGGGCTTGCATCTCTATATTTGCCACTTCAAACCACTACTGCTGATTCTGGTCATGACTGACCTTCTCAGAAAGGCAGCCGTCCCAACTGTCCCTTCTCGCTGTGATTCTAGCAGGAATTAAAAATTGTTGAGCTGATATGCCTTCAGAAGTCAAGTCCTCCTGTGTTTTTTTTTTTCTGAAAGATGGCTTTAGCCTGTTCTTGTCACTTGCTGAGAATTTCTTGCACCAATTAGGGACTATCCTTCAGCTCTAATTCCTGATAAGAAGCTTCCCCATTAACACTAATAATGCAAAAAGGGAAAAGGACTGTGAAATAAACTTATCCTTAAACAGGGTATTGTTTATCAATGTCTTGAGACATTTATATTGGATTCAAGGCCCACTTCTTCCATGTCCACATACTAAAGGATTCTTCATACCCATTTGTCAGCATATCCAGTTCTGTCCTATATCCACTTAGTACTGCTGTGGGTAACCCAGGTAGAAGCGAAGTAAAGGAAAGGCCTTCTGGAAAACACTTGCTGTCCTGGAAGACAGTGATTTTCATTTATCAAATACTTCTAGTGTTCTAATCATTATGACACTTCAGGCTGGTCTGCACAGAAAATGTGTAATTTCCTATTTCATTCATATTTCCCCTATGCCAACAACTGATAGATTTTTCCCTGAATATTTTGGCACCAAAATTCTCATTGGGCTTTAAATCCCTAGATCCTGCAAGAGATATTTGTCCAAGGAGAGCCTTGAGGCTGCTTTCCAAAATATTATTAAGCACTATCGTCAGAGAGCCACATTCTTCTAGCATGAATTCACTGGAAATTTCATCTAAGCTTATACACAGAAAATATGAAACTAAAGTCAATTAAGCATTATCTTAAAAATAAACACAGCTCTTGGCCATCTACATCTTAATTCCTCACTTACAGGAATAATATGGGAGACAGTATCCACATGTCTCATTAATTCACAATAATGTAACTGCTGGACTAGAAAAAGGGGTAGCAACTGTGATGGGCAGAACTGCCTCTAAAACAGGTTGCAGAAATGAATTTAGTTGGCATTGACTCCATAGAAATTTTTGAGGATAGAGATAAAACCATTTTGTATCATCCATGACTTACAGATGTACTGTGGTTACCTAATGAAGATCTGTTCACAAACTCTGGGAGGATTTACCTAAATACTTCACCAAAGCTACAGTAATTTTATCAACTTTACCATGACCAAAATATCATTTTGTCTCCTATTATATAACAAAATTAGCACATGTTCCAGAGGATCCTACCTGCTTGCTTACTACCTCAGGAGGTAAATAGCATGGGAGAAGTAAAGTTAATGGGATTAAGTTAGTGGAATTGATCTGCCCCCTCCATCTCTCATTTCTGCAACTCTCCTGCAATCCATCTCATTACAGCAGGAAAGAGCATTCCGGATATTGATGAAGGAATGTAGTGAATCACGAAGACATAGCAATTTAAATATTTTTATTGTATTGCACAAAGTCTCTATGCAATCCATGTAGGTACTGTATTAAACGATCCACGCTTCCCAAAACATTGGCTGTTGCAGCACGCATCAAGCATTGTGATTAACCAGTGCCTTCTTCAAAAATTGAAATAATCAGTTGCAAGTATAAGCATGTGTGGCAATAAATGAAGAACAAAGCTAGGAGTATCAATACATATTTCTTTTCAAACACACAATTATACAACTTTCAGAAGACCACCAATATTTTCAAGCAACTATTTTGATGAGATATTGTATGTGTAGGCTCTGCAGTAAAAAGCCAAGATGCACACAAAAATATATTTCAACTTTTAAAATAATTTAACCATAATATCTTGCATGTGTTAGCTGTTTACAACATACGATTTCATATACAATATCAAGCCCAAAGCCTCAATTTGTTTAAATTTGTGCATGCTCGTTTGAAGCAGCTGAGACTCTGGACCACATGTTCAAGCCAAAAGAGCCTTCAAATTGTTCACATCTGAACACAGAGCAGTAGAAAACAGAGGAAATAGTTACAGAGAAGGTGTAACAGAAACGATCCTATGAAAAATGAAGAAAACCACAATGAAACTCCCACACATAAGGTTCGAGAAATAATGTTCGCCTACATGTAAAGTGATGTTGCAATAATTTATAAAGGTGACGAATTAATACCAGTCTCCTTACTGACACAGATTCTCAAATATTCAGAAGCCCGTAAGAGTGAACTAACCAAACGTCATAATCAGTATCATCCTCAAACTGTATTTCTTAAGTTTCTGATTGTTAATACTGGTACTTAAAACATTTTATGTTTGCTGAAAACTGTTATTAAAATTTACCCTCCTGCTACGAGAATTTACTGTAATAAAACTCATGAAAAAACAATAGATAAAAAAATATTTTTTAAGAACACTTTTAGAAAACCCGTCGAACAACTGCAAATACAGCTGATTTTTAAGTGTCTTTACTTGTGAGTTGTGTTTTTTTTTTAAATTGAATGACTTATAAAGAAGCAAGAGGTACCAGTTCTAAGATTTATTTTTGTCCATTACATTAAGGACCTCATCCAAAAGTGAAGGTCCCAAGTCAAGCTGTAACGAAAGAAGAGAGTCTGCAAGATCTGAAAGGGATTCTTCTGACTTAGTCTCTGTCTTGGTTAGTTCACATGAAAGTCGACTGTCATCAAATAAATCAACTGTTTGCCAATCAGAGCACCGTTCGGAAAGGCTGGAGGAGTGACTGTCTCTGCCATTGGCTAAGTGTGACGAAGAACCATTTTGCTCCCATATGTCATCTCTGTATATTTCTCCATCCTTCAGCTGTTTACCTTTCTCCGGCAATTTTTCTTCCATTACTGGCTCACAGCTAAGCCTAGGATTTCTAGATGGCCTGACGGATTCTTGCTTTGAATTAAATGTCACTGGTGACAATAAGGGCAACATAAGGGCTTGAGAACCCCCGATGGCCGGAAGGGAAATGGCATTTTTGAGCACTGGCGATGGAGTTTCTGTAAACATGGATTCGGAAGTGCTGTTTGCCCTTAGGAATTCATTGTGGCCGTCAGCTTGGCTTATTCTGGTTTCTCCTTCATTTCCAGGCAAGAGCTCGTAGTTTCCCTGCAAAAAGGAGATGTCCCCAAAAACATCATGCTGCCCTTCTTTTCCAATGTGTATGGTGTGGCGGAAGTCTCCAAGAGGTGGACTGATCATATCAGGAGACAGGATATCCCTTAGTTTGAACTTCTTCCCTTTTTTATTGTTGGCAGCTTTCAAATAGATGGGTGTCTTGGCTGGCATCTTGTTTGTAGATTCTGAGAGGATGAGTTATCAAAAAAAAATGGAAAAGCGTCCTACAAAGTTAGTTATTCTCTGGAGACCTTGAGTGCTATCTGAGTTACATCATCATCTCACTCTCATAGATGAGGTTCCTTTCATCTGGAACGGAAAACTCTCAGATACGCGAAGGGGAAAGTCTCTCACTGTCGATCTTGCAAGGGTGGAGCACGAGTTCCGGGGCAGTTAGCAATTACGTGTCCTACTACGTCCAGGACCTGAGGAAACCTGCATAGGATACAAAACCAGGTTTTCATTAACTTATTTTTCATGTTTTTTTTTTTTTTTTAGGAAAAAAAATAATGACAATTTCAGCTGGCAGATGAGCTTTACAATGCTGCTTCCCTTCATTAGGCAAGATAAAAGGGTAGAGATGAACAGATTAATAGATTAACAAGGGCTAGATAACCTCTCCCTGACTTCATAGGTTTGGTGTCTTGGGTTTTTGAGGTCAGAGTTTCTTAGACACAGTTGCTGAGCCCGGTTTGTTTGATAAACATCATGATCTCACACCTTCCTATTCTGGCATTGCAACTGCCAGCCTTCCAGAGCACACGCAGACACACTTATAACACGAGGGCTCAACCACATTAAGCCTTTGGATAGACCCAGAAGGCCTCACACAGACCAAGGTTTTTGAAATAGAGAAGATCACCTTGGATTGGAGAACTTACAATATCCCCCTTTAGTGCTGGAGTTCTCGCAAGCTGAAAGCACCAATGATGCTTCTGGAAAACGTGCCCATTTAATTTCAGGCACTTACCATTCTGCTTATCCTTATCTCTACACTTGGTTGGAATAGTCCAAATGTGGGTCTTTTGGAGAGGACTGATCCTTTTGACTATCATCTGCAGCCTATGGGAATCTTACATGGGGATTCTGTGGGAATCACAGCAGTAACTCACACACACGAGCTCAAATACTTGCTAGGCCATGAGGCCACGGCGACTCAAAGTTGGTCTGTGCAAACAAATGGGACTGTATTTTCCAATGAGCTAAGCCCAACAAGGATCGCTGGTTTCAGAAGTGCGTGCAGTATGGCTACACAGCCAGATTGTCCAAGAGGATTCAGGCACTTTCGCCACTCCATTCACTTCAGGGCACTATCGGTTCCTGGAGGCGGTGCCTAAGTGAGTGTCACGAGGGCGGCTGGGAAGCCAGGGGGGCCAGTCTTCCCTTGGGATCCCCACGGGATACCTACTGAACGCCAGATACCCCTGAAAACCCCTCCCCCAAGCACCCGGCAAAAAGGAAAACAGATGGAAACAGATGAGAGCTGCCGTGCAAAATAAGCTCCATTTATCCTTTCCAGCTCAATTTTGATAATGCAATCGCTTACATTAATCAGTTACGAGCACTTCAAAGATTGCTCCTCCATAGGAAAATTCTAATTCATTAGGAGCTACAGAAAACTAGGAGACTCCCATTCCGTCCCAGAGCTCCCTTGCCTGAACTCCATCTCAGCACTGTAAGACCCCAAGGGATGTTCTGAATGAAATCTCTGCTTGGGCCCCAGATCATGGGAACAGAGCTAACTAGTCTGTTTCAGTTACCTTTTGATTCAAACTGAAAAATTCACTACATTGTTTTAACTTCCTCTCCCCCCCATTTTCCACAGCTTATCACTTTAACCTTGTAACCCATTTAACTAAGCAAAATGTTCTCAATTCTAGAGAGATTTCTATTCTTAGGGAACAAAGCTGAACCGTGAGGCTGGTTGTTGTTTATCTAGCAAATTCCGCTCTATCCCAATTCCCAGCAGAATTCCCTCTGCTTCTAATTCTTCAATCTCTCAGATTTTTTGATCTGTGGCATGAATGGCAATGCAGTGCCAATTCAGTCAAGCTGACTGGCTACTAGCTTAAAAATAAAAGACAAACCCTAGTTCATTCAAACTCTCATGGGTCCCACCAGGTTGGATCTTCCAAGGCCACTAGCACCAAGAGATTGCAAACAAACCTAATGGTATGCAGTGAAACACCTCTGAAGATCAAGTAGTAGTAAAAATTAACCACCGATCGACTTGCTTTCTAAAATCATGCATTTCGACCTGCAGAAGAGGACTGCATTTTATTAAACTCATTGCTTGGGAAGGCAAAATGAACAAACAAACCCCAAACGATCAGAAAAGCAGAACGGAGCGAGGAGCTTGGAGGCGCCCGGAGCTCCTTCAGCTCCTGCGCTGCGAGGGAGCCCCAGCAAGGGGCAGTGTCAAACCGCGCCGCTCGGCCTGCGCACGGCCGGGCACGGGCTGCCGCTGCCTCCCGCTCCGCCAGCGCACCGAAAGGCTTCACCTCCCTCGAGAACATCCCCAATTACACGTGCACTGCAAGCCTCACCTGCTCAGTTAAGTCAAAGGCAACGCTTTGCGGCATGTTTCAGTAACCCCTCTGCTGGAAAGGGATATGGAAGGGATAAGGATTCCCTCTTCCACAGGCAGGCTTTTAATGCACAGCCTAACATGGATGTCAGGGCAAGTGCACTTCATTTCTGCATACCTGTCCTCCCTGGCAACTGTGACCCAAAGGAGTACAGATTTTAAACCATTCTGAACAGATGGAATGTAATATCACCCTGGAAATAGTCACTCACTAAATACTGTTATTACATTTAATTTATAATTAAATGAGGACAAACGTATGCTAATATATAAAGTAATTTTAAAAAACAAGACTTTGGCCAATGAACACGGCTTAACAAGATCATGTTTCCCATTTGACTCCTCCCAAAACCCCCCAGATTTCTCCAGAAGCTCTTGCACCCTGCCTGCATCCCGAAATATGGGATGGAAGAGCAGTGCCTCCTGGTTAAGGGACTACTCTCCAGCCTTGAAACCCTGCTCTACAGTGGTGTTCACCCGGTCTGAAACTTAGGCCCTTTTCTCATCTTTCCATTGAAAGAATCTCTGTTTTGACCAAGTTCAGTTCACTATAACTAAGAGAATACATTGCCAAACTGAAAAGCTGAATGAGAAATCATTAGCAAATCAAATGTATAGCCAAAAAATCTGCAGTCCAAGACTGCCAAGCCAGAGAAGTTTCAGCCCAATGAAGAAATAAATAATTGGTTTGCATGTAACTCCTGATCGTTTTTACTTCTATCGCTTTGCAATCTCTGTTATGTGTTCTGCTAACCCAGGTAACCTGGAAACCTTGAATAATATTTTGAGAGGCACTTTTCCATCTGGCTTGTGAACCCTCAGTCCACTTGGCAATCGTTCCCCTCCACGCAGCTCCAAGTTTTCAGTGGGTGCCTCAGTTTATTCCAGTCAGTTTTAAAAAGACAGACAGCGAATATGTCAACAGCTGAGCTTACAAGGCCAGACACAAGTAAGGGTCAAGGTGCAAACCTGTAACTGTGAATAGCTCCCAAGAGATGCAGATCCTACGCCACGTTCTGGGCAAGCACACGAAAGGAATGAAAGGCCATTTCCAATGGAGTGCAAATCAGAAGCAATTTGTACACTTTGGGAAGCTGATGGGCTTTCTACAGGACAATCTCTTGCAATGGTTCCATCTTGAATATTATTGGCCGAGTACATTGAAACTTTACAGAAAACCATCCCAAAATATTAATTAAATAAATAAAAATTCTAAAAGCAGTGAATGACCTTGTAGAACAGGTCCTTAAATGAAGATGGAGACTCTATAACCCTCATACTATGCAAAGCAGAAGAGAATACCCACCAAAAGGCAGAAGCAGGCTCCTCAGTAAGCTTTTTGCTGGATGAAACATCTGCACACACAGGCAAATGAGGAGGGCTCATTTTGCTTTTTAGCTACCAGTAGCTTTTCCCAGCCCTAGCAGTTAAGAATCACTATGTTTGAAACACCCGTGCAAACCTGGCCTTGCAGTTTCCAGAGCAAGGGCTAAGACAAGACAAACTCTAACTGTTCAGGTCCAAGGTAAGCACGAGAGCCCGTGCCACGGAGCCCAGCTCCTGCGCTCCCGCCACGCGCGTGTCCCTGGCAGCGAGGGGGAACCGCAGCTCTCCCGCTTCGCGGCCAGCGGAGACTCCGCTTGGGCAACCAGCAGCGTCGCGGCGGCTTTAGCCAAATCAGGTGGCAACTGTTCTCCTACCCGCTTCTTCATCTAAACTTGCCTTGTTTATAAAAGGCCCAGCCTTTTAATTTGCCTGTATTAAAGTCAGTCTTTCTGATTGGATTAAAACTCTTTGCCCTTTTTTTTTCTCCCTCCTTGAAAGAATTTGCATCTTTCTGATAAAGCTACTGATTTAATTACTTTATAAAATCATCAGGCTAATTCACACTTAAGTTCAGCTGGTCTTCACACACTGCACTCAGCCTGGTGTCCTAGATCAAATCTAACAGGTCACTTTCTTGCACACAGGTCCATTCCCCACGGCCACCCCTTCTAGTCACCCTCCTCTTGGCTCACATTTACCATAAGTGTGCCCAGAATCAGCCACTGCTCGAGTTGAGACCTCAACATCTCTCTTAGCAGCATATCTGCATTTTTCTCCTAGCAGAAGAGCACAGGGTGCTTTGTGGTCCTCTAAAAAACTTGTCTTTTTTTCAGAGGAGCTGCCATCTATCCAGTTATTCTGCCTCTTGCTCTTGACTACTGCCACTTCAGAGAAGCTCTGGCACTCGCTGCACTGCCTTCTGCTTCTTACAAGCTTTTCAATTTGTTAGCATCATTTCAAGTTTTAATCTTGTTCTCTATAGCATATGGATATAGGATCACTTTTAGATGTAGGGGCGCGCATTCAAATCATTCATGAAAATATTGCATGACAACAGAGGTCGAAAATGCCACTTGATCCATCTTTCCAGACTGACAGTGATTAAATACTCCAAGCTACTGCTCAAAGTATTTGAGTTCTCGAGAATGACTGCTCATGGGTAAGGAATGGGGGGAGGAAGGGAACACAAATATGCTCCATAATACAGATCTACTAATGAGTGATGAGGGAGACTTCAGAGATATCAGCTATTGGAGCACTAGCTGGGGAGAAAAAAAAAAGAAATATGCCTGATAATGAATCAGTTCTGTTATCCTTTCACTTTCCCTTCCAAAGAAATGATATGAGGATACATTTTCATT